TCAGATATTAATTGAATAGGGAAAGTGGTTTAAAGTATAGGTTGAAAAATAAAGAGCTTGAGGTTGTCAGTAATTTCAAAGATTGTTAAAGTTTGATGAAAAATTATGAAGAAAAAACATTGTTTAGAAGACACCAGGAATGTGTTTTAAGAAAATACATATTTTTTAAGTGTTGACTGCTGTGTGTAATTTCTGCACCAGGTGTTCAAATGTGTTTGTTCTGTTCTCCATATCTACCATTGGTGCTGTTTTTAGATTTTTTTTTTTTTTTTCATAACAAAGTGTGCATAAACATGGCAGCTTCTAGGTCGTGTAGTTCCTGGGCTATATGCACCAGCCAAGATCCAATTCATTGAGATCAATTGGAATGTTTACAACTCTCTTCGGGTGTTATTGATCTCTATGGCTCAAAAACATATTTTGAGTTAAAATCAGCCTATGAATGGCTTACAAAGTTGTGTCTGCGCATTAAGCTAGGATAACTTAAATTATTTTAAAGTAATGTTCTGTGATCAGTCAAGTTAAGCTCTATTGACAGCATCTGTGGTACAGAGAAATAGGTTTTAATGTCTTGCCCAATTGTAAGTACATTGCATGTTTTTTGATTGTCAAAAACTTATTGACAGAAGACCAAACTGCTGAAATCTGAGCTTTCATTTCAGTTTACACAACCAATCTGGAGCAGATATTTGCCCACTAAGAGCTTGACAGAAACACATCTGCAAGTCCCTGCATTGATTACCAAAGATTTCCATCTGGGAATACCAGAAATGGAACAAGTATGACGTCAGCATAGGTAGCCTGTGGTGCATAGTGGAATATTGCCCTCGCTTAAGCTGCCTTGCAGAACCTGGATAGAGAGACACTTCTAGGCTCTGTTCTAAAACCCTCAGGTGTGCTTTCAAAAGGTAGACACCTTACCGATTCAGAAAAATACCACAATGACGAGTTCAGTGAATAAATCCCTCACAGTGAATAAACTGTGTTAACCCTCTGGGGACCAAGGGGTTTTTGGGGCCCTTGGGATGTTTTGACATGCACTGACATTTGTGCTTTTTTCAGTTATTTATAAACATGTTAATGGCAAAGGTGTAAATTCACTCTATATAGCACAAACGGGGCTACCATAATATGTGAGCAACATGTATGTACATGTTTGTATTTTTGAGAGAATATTATTTATGCATGGTTATTGAAAAACTTAAAAATAAATGTTTCTGAAATAAGGCCACAAAACACATATTGATTATTTCTTCACAAGACTTTTGAAAATTGTATCACATAGCCTAGAATATTTGCTCCAAAACTATGTGAGAATCATCCTGACTACTCATTCAGATAAGTCAATAAAGTATTTTAGAATGTGTTTGACGTGTTTTGTTTGAGAAAGCTTTATGCGAGGAGGCGTGATCTCTTATTAATATGTAAGGCATTTCACACCTGAGAAAGACAAAGACCCTCCCATAATGGCCCTATTAGGTGCTATCAGGCCCTATCATTACGAGGAGCCTTGCACAAAGAATGAGGAGATTTAAAAAGAATGGCTTTTAGATTGTTTGGATTTATTTACAACACAACATAATCCAAAGATACACAACAAAGGACAAAAAAGCACATTAGTAAACACACTGATCTAAATACAGAGGCTTGCACAGTCACACAGCATTGTCCCATTCCTGAAACATAGTACATACCTGTCATTTCCAAGGTGTTTGATTTTTCATTACAGTCTCCTGTGAATGTTGAAGTCAGCAGGACTCATCAGTGGCATTTTGTCCCTGTAAAAAAAAAAATAAACACCTGTGAACATGCTGATATCAAGAGAAACTATATGGCTGCACGACTTTGGGCATACATTGTAGATTTTTCTGGTTAAAATTGCTTTTTAATTATATATATATATATATACACACACACACACACTGCTTAGAATAAGTGAACACACCCATGCTAAAGTTGACTAAAAAGAGGAATAAAAACGCTTAATGCCTTAATTAAAAAAATGAGGGACATGAATAATGTCCCTGAATTCTTTGTGAATGAATAATGTATCGCAAATAATTAAATTTTCTTCTTTAAAATACAGGGTGCATACGTCTGGACACTTCTATCCCCAGAAACTCCCAACAAAAGCTTATTTGATGTCTTTATTTTGAAGCTTATTTGATTTGAAAAACTTTATCCAAAACTAGTCAACGAAATTTTGTCTTTTATTTTCTGTAACAGTGCGTATCTGTGCGTTCATTCATTCATTCATACACACACACACACACACACACACACACACACACACACACACACACACACACACACAGAGAGAAACATGATTCACATTTAAACAGTATGCTATTTTTCCGTTTACAGACACTAACGTTATTCTATATCGCGATTAGAACAAAGCACAAGCACAAAACACTTACACTTCTCAGCTGAATCTGTTGCTCCTCCTCGAAGTGAAAATAAACCAGCACTTCTGTGGTATATGTCCCAGGATTATTCCTCATAGCCGCGCAAGACGAATCTTAATCTGACTAAAAAATATAGTGTGTTTACAGAGTTTACAGCATTTGCCTGGGGGCGTTTATCTATTTTGCAAATGGCCTCAACACATTATCTTATGAATAGCGCGCTCTGCGAGTGGGTGTGGACAAATTAACGATAATGAGCTGAGACAGGAGAAACTGTACTTCTCTTTAGTTTCAGACAGATTACATTGCAGGAGAATATTTGTTTTAAATGTGAATTGTTTTATTTAAAAGTAGAAATTTAAAGCGTTATTTAGACGTATGTTTCATGTTTGTGTGATAAGTATTAGCGGAGTTTCCGTTCATTTTCCAGACATGTTTCAGAAAGATTTTTGCGGAGACAGAGTGAGCTGAAAGCGCACCCTGTTTATTGTATTTATTTTTAAAAAAAACAAGGTTTTGATGTTAATGTGAGTGTACACAAAAAAAGAAGACCCTCTATAGTTTATAATCATGTATTGATTTTATTTATATAACCATAAATGACAGAGTATTTTAAGTCTATGTTGCTGCTATGTGAAAAAAAACAGCAAAACGCGCGGGCGCGTTCTTGGTCCCCAGAGGGTTAAGGCCTGTTCGCACCGGGACGAATTTCGCGCGCGATATTCGCCGACGTTTAACGCCTCTTGACTAAACAAAGGGCGCCAATGTGAGTGTGCACACTGACACGAAAAATGAAAAAGCGTCTACACTGCCGAGGAGAAATAAGACGAGGAAGATGCAAGGCAAGATGAATGTAGAGCTGCTGGTCTCGTTGGTGTCGGAACATAAAGAACTATATGACAAACGCGACAGCGACTACAACATAGGACTATTTCTGTTTTACATTAAGCGCCAGCTAATGTCAGGAAATGAATTGGCATGTTCACTCGGCTCATCGTCAGCGAAAATCGCTTGGGTGTGAACACAAAAAAACGCGTTGAAAAACGCTGGCGAATAACGCGCGCCAATATTCGTCCCGGTGTGTACGAGCCTTTAGGGAGCCATTTGGGTCAGGACCTTGGGTCCAAAAGTCTTGAGACCACATTGAAAATCTGGGATTCAAAATCTGGGAATAACCAACCCGAATTTTACGAGGTGGATAATTTGTACGAATTCATACAATCTCACTCGTACAAATTGAAACATTCTCAGTTGTAATTAGCTATGCAAATTTTGTATTTATTTAGATTCTATGCTAATTACTTACTGTTCTTTCTGCAGTGCACATTTAATAACGTAGAGACTGTTTAGCCACTCAAGTACAGTTGTGGTCATGTTTATATACCCCTTTGCAGAATCTACAAAATGTTAATAATTTAAAAATTAAGAGGCATCATAAAAATTGTATGTTAGCTTGGGACCACATGTGAGCAGTCTGACGTATGTTATATTGCTGTTGCGAGGGAGCTATAATGCTTGCACAGAGATACATTCTACACGTTTATATGCATCACTTCCTGTGTTCTGGACACTGACTGAGCTTCTGTTTAAACGGGGGAAGCCAGTAGGAAGAGTTAGCTGAACGTCTCCAGGTTTTTACAAACTCTCTGACCTCAGAAACAGGTGTTTTCTCAGGAGAACAAAAGGAGGCAAATTCTCACAAATTATTTTTATCCCTGTTCATCTGAATGTGGATGTTCACAGCTGTGTCTGCATGTAATGCACGGCATGTGTTTGTAGGTATGGAGCTTTTACAAGTCATTCTATCTTTTGCAGTCTTATATTTACCAAGTGCTTGGGTATCAGTTTATAAAAACGTAGATTTTTGCTTGAGATTTGAAGTTTGCATAGCCTGAGAAAGAACGCTTATTAATGCAGTGGAAAATTGTCAGTTTGGCTACATGAGTTACTCATTGAATGTTCCCTAACACCGTGTTCCAACCAGGCAAGGGAAAAAATGCAGTTTTTGTCTTAATCAGTTGCAAATGTGACAATTAGGAAAGTGACAAGTTCACAGAACTTTTTGTTGGTTGCTTGGTTTCTTATTCAGTTGCATTCTGCTCTCATTTGCGCAAAATTCTTCTCAACAGAGCAAGGTTTTGTATATTGTTCTATACTGCAATTCTGTCCATGTGTAGTATGGCACCTGGTCAGGACACTGGAGTCAGTTTCAGTGTAACTACACAATAAATTGTTTGTTTTTGTGGTTGTATTGGAACTGTGGTACAGCGGTCAGTGCATGACACATTGAGCTGTGTGGCTCATGTCGGTGATGCAGATTTGATCCTGTTTCTCATGCACTGTTTTCTCTTTAACATCCCACAAATTAACTTAATTCATATATAATTAAATACATAAAAAGTCCATAAATTAAATAAAATGTAAGTTAGCGCACAAGACTATGTAAAAATGGGGCATATAATAAATCTAAATAAAACATGCTTTATGTAAATGAAGGGACGTTCTGCCCAGTCATCCATGAAAGTGATTTTATGTTACAGTATATGCTCATCTTCATTTGTTTTGACATTGGTTTTGTTTCTATTTTAACAGATGACTCCTCAGCTAAAGACGTTAGCAGGGTAAGTGAGGCATCGCTTTTGTGTGTGTGTGTGTGTGTGCGTGCGTGCGTGCGTGCGTGCTCGCGTGCTCGCGTGCTGCGTATGTGTGAGTTTGTGTGTGTTCGTGTTCCTTTAACCCTGTAAAGCCTGAGATAGAAAATAATAGTCTATATAAGTTATATATATATATATATATATATATAAGTTTGCATGTGTTTTTTTCATACATCTGGCTTTTATGGCTCATAGTATGATAAAAGAGCTCATACTCATTTAAACAATTTGGAGGCCTAAAATATGCAATTTGATGCAGTTCTGATAGTTATATGGCCAAAAAGTAAACAAAATTCTGATAGATTTTAATGTAAATGAATGAGATCTTATAACAGTATAGCAGACTACGTATATAAAATGCATATACATATAAATTGTCGTTCTATATCTCCCAATAATACATCTTAGTAAGATGATATTCAAATGTTTAGTTTTATGATCAAAGCTGCAATGCGATACAATGATTGAGAGATGAACAAAAAAACGTTCCTCATGTACTTTTACTTGCTAAAAAAGTATAAACTATCAATCAGACGACAGACAGCATGTAATAGATTATGTACAACAGGTTTTTCAGCTAAATTTAGAGGCCTTAGAAATGTGCGTATCAAATATGATCCAGTAGCCTTTATAGGGTTAACCTTAAAGCATAATAAGTCATAACATGAGGAATCAATGTTGTTGAATAAAATGGATCTCTTACATTTATTTTATTTTTTAAAGTAAGTGTGTAGCAAAAGTGTTGACATTCATGCCAAAATGAGACGGTTATCAGGGGAGAAGCACTCATGGAACACTTCATTGAAAGTTTCTGCTAATAATCATTATAAGCAACACACACACACACACACTTATCCTCTCCCTATGGAGGATCCCTGTCCCACTCTACAGATAAAGCGTTGTTGAAAATCCGGTTCGCGTACCCCGAAGTGATAAAATAAAATTCGGTATCAAATTTATAGGCAAGACAAGTAGTTTGTTTAGGCATGGTTTGTAGGGAAATTACAAACCTGCGCACACATATTCAAACGAATATAACTATAGAATCAATTTTTAATGCGCATGTGAACGCCATCCGGTCACAGGTTCGCGTTTAAAGTCTGTTTAGAGAGAACGCCGTCGTCTTAGTGGCCCCTAATGTAATAACAAATGATAATTTTGCTGGAAGTGAATCAATCAAAACCAACTTTAGCCGAAAATAACATTATTCAAAATCGCTATAAAGCCAAAACAATCTCTGTTACCGTAAATTGTATGTTTATCTCTGTAAAGCTGCTTTGAAACAATCTCCATTGTTGAAAGCGCTATATAAATGAAGATGACTTGACTTGACACACGACACAGCTGCTAAATATGAAAGTGTCTGTTGTATGAAAAATGACATTGAGAACAGAAACCTTGAGACAGATTTAAATGAGCAGAGGCAGTGATCTGTTAATGAGATCAGTGCCACTTTAATGGGCTAGGGTTAGGGTTAGGAGCACACACACTGTGCGCTGAGCACTTAGCCCCGCTGATTTAGGGGACAGAGATGAAGAAATTAAACGGGGCCAGTGGAGAGGGACAGGAATAGCAGAACAAGGACTTTTTGGAGAAGGACAGCGGGGACGTCGCCTGTCCTCAGTGCGTCACATGTTCATGTACATAAACAGGATGTGTAGGAAGCCGTTCCCGTGGGGGAGCACCTCACACACCCCTCGTCCACCGGCCCACTCTGACCTTTCACACAGGGACAGAAATAGACATTCTTGTTTGGGCCTGCCGTTCACTCCTCCTGATTTGGATGTTAAAATTGGATTTAGAACTAATTTCTGTATTATACAAGTTTTTCATATTTCACGTGCATATTGTGAGAGAAAAGCTTCATTATTGGATGCTCATGATTAATACTGCCTTCTAAGGTGAGAGTTTTTGGCCTAAATGTCAAAAGGCGGTCCCATAATGCACTGCATTAATTTCAGTGAAAAAATCCACCAGGAATGGAGGACAAAGCAAGACGGTTTTCAGTCTGATTAAATGGTGGACTGTTTTACACTGTATTTGTGTGTTATGTATTTTTATGTTGTTACCTAATGCAAAATGCAAAATTGATTTTATTGGTAAATTGACTCTCCTGTGTGGATGGCTAAATCTGAGCTACTCGCATACCTTTCATTTAATTTAGTGGAACATCCAATAATGTTCAACTTTTAGCAAAACATTTAATAACTACACTAACGTTCAAAAGTTTGGGGTTAGTAAGATTTTTTGTTTGTTTGTTTTCAGAAAAATTAATACTTTTATTCAGCAAGGATGCGTTAAATTGATCAAAAATGACAGTAAAGACTTTTTCAATTAAACGCTGTTCTTTTGAACTTTCTATTTGTAAAACAACCCTGAAGAAAAAATGTATAGTAGTAGTAGGGTACTTCTGGCCATAGTGTATAGTATACAGTGCATGTGCATGTGAATGTGTGTGTCTCTTGTGTCCAGCAGTACCAGGACACGAATATGCAGAGCGTCGTATATGAGCTCAACAGCTACATGGAGCAGCGGCTGGACACTGGAGGAGACAACAAACTACTGCTCTATGAGTTGTGCAACATCATCAAAACAGGTCAGAGCCTTTCTGTCTCATACACACACACAAACACTGAAAGAGCCCAAATTAACCACGTCAGCCACTTAATAATTCTTAAAGGATTAGTTCACTCCAGAATTAAAACATCCTGATAGTTTACTCACCCCCACGTCATCCAAGATGTTCATGTCTTTCTTCCTTCGGTCGAAAAGAAATGAAGGTTTTTGAGGAAAACATTCCAGGATTTTTCTCCATATAGTGGACTTCAATGGGGTCCAACAGTTTGAAGGTCCAAACTGCAGTTTCAATGCAGCTTCAAAGGGCTCTACACGATCCCAGCCGAGGAATGAGGGTCTTATCTAGCCAAACGATCTGTCATTTTCTAAAAAAAAAATATATATGTATTTACACTTTTTAACCACAAATGCTAATCTTGCACTAGCTCTGTGATGCGCCACGCATTACGTAATCACGTTGAAAGGTCACGCGTGTTCCAGTTCTCATTATCTCCTCCAACTTCAAAATCGTCCCACATCGTTGATCTTTTTTTTTTTTGTGTAAATGCCGTTTGACTGAAGGCTTATTTATACTTTTGCACTATAGACTAGCGTTGGCTTTCATTTATACTTCTGCGTCGTTGTCCGCGTTGACGCGCAATTACACATGCAGAGGGAGCATGTGAAACCTGGGGAGCGGTTCTAGCAGACCAATCACAGCGCTTGCGGTACGCGTAGAATTGACACGTTGTTACATTTTTTGGAGAGGTGCACGTCAGGGTACGCCGAAGGGTACGTGCGCTACACACAGCCTACGACGTACGGCGTGAGTTCGACGCAGAAGTATAAATTGGGCTTTAGTCTTTGCACGTGCTCTTTGTAAACACTAGGTCTGTACTTCCGCCTACATCACATGTGACCTTTCAACGTGATTACGTAATGTGTGGTGCATCACAGCTGGTTCAAATGAGCATTTGTGGTTAAAAAGTATTTAAATGTTTGTTTGTTTTAAATTACAGATCGTTTCGCTAGATAAGACCCTTATTCCTCAGCTGGGATCGTGAAGAGTTGTCTTGAAACGGCAATTTAGACCGTCAACCCGTTGGACCCCATTGAAGTCACTACATTATTATAGTTAAAAAGTTACTAAAATGTTTACCAACTGACACACTTGGAGACGAATATAATATATTAGAATTAGGCACCAACAATAACAAGTTACAGCATTCACACGATCCTCATAAACAACACAGTGCTCCGAAGCAGAAACGTGAACGCAACGTCTGCCAGTAGAGAGCCTTACAGATGAAGGTGTAGTGAATCCAGGTTAAAAGGTCTAAGTATGGGTGTTCCCCATCTCTCTCCCCTCCACACACACAATGATCGAGCAGTGCTCAACCTGTCAATTCCCATCCACCCATGCTTCACCCGTGCGTCTCACGCACGCCAAACTGAAGCGTGTGCGCACCGGTTTCAGAAATTAACAAATTTTTCTATTAGGGAGAAATATTTGGATATAGATTTTCAGGGGCATTTTGTACCTTGATGAGGTACCATAGTTGTTTTTCAACTCTATAACAGTATATACAACTATATAACAGTGTTCTGTCCATATATGTCAAATACTTCAGTGAAGAAATAAATTCTCAATAGCTATGTTTCCATCCCCCTATTTTTCTGGATATCGCATAAAAAATGTTGGATGGAAACGCCAAGTTGCGTATACATTCTAAAAATGCACATTAAAACATACTCAATTGAGGCAGATAAAAAAAAATTTCTGATAAGAAGACATGCGCATAATCTACAGTGGAAACACTTTTACCGAATAAATCCCTCGATACGCAACAGAAAACTCATGTGACTTTGCCTCAGAGGATGTGATTGGATAACTGGACTAACCAGCGGATCAGTTTAATTGCACGGCTTCTCAAATGTTGGTTTGATCATTCTGAAATGCCTGAGCCAAAGTCTGTAATCAGAATGATTTGGTTTAATTCCCTCCTAGAAGCGTCTTACATAATTGCGTTCCCAAATACCAGGCATCCGAACGCAAGATAACATGACAGCTTTCATTGCGTTTCATCTAATGAGACGCAAGTCATTTATGATGTAGGATAAAAGAGCCACCGTGGCTTCCCTGATTGCAGGAGCTTCCATTTTACATTTGAGATATTTTGCGGCAATTTCCCAGGAAGTGATGATTTTGTACTCTTGAACACATGGGATTGAAACGATGCTTTATTCGCCAATGTTTTATGCGATATTCCAATTTTGAATGGAAACATGGCTAATGTGAAATAAGTGATAAAGCTTTCAGATTAGAAGACTTTAACTACTTTTATTACTTTCACTGGTCATTTTTTTCCATTCTTTTGGTCCCTTGGAATACTTGGAACTTCTTCAAAAGCAAGAATCATTATATCTGTTAAAAACATTAGCCATATGTATTTGCACTTTGCTGTCTTTTCCCCCTAGAAATGCCATGCTAAATCTCTGGGCCCATTTGTGTCCAGTTAAATTCTTTTGGAATGTCTAAAACATGATACAGTACATCATCCTGTTTTTTGGGGGTTTGTTTGTTTGTTTGTTTTTTCACAGCCACAAAAGCTGATGGATTTGCACTTTACTTCCTTGGAGAATGCAACAATGTAAGTATTTTTAGTTCTGGTTGAGTTGATACATGTTTAAAATTGTTTAGTGGATGTTGACATTAAGAAATATACTCAAACTCAAGTGTAAAGTCATTAAAACATTGATTTAAGAAAGGATGTAAATCTTTTAGTGACCATTTAAAAAAAAATATATATTCTTTAAAGAAGCCAGTTTAGATGCTTAAATTAAACTAGGAACAATCTATATTTTGTCAACAAAACTAATTTCTAAGCACTGAAGCATTAGAGGTCTTAAGATCATGAGAAACATAAACTCAGCCAAATGAGTTCAAACCTTTGATTGGCCATGTACATGTTCTGTTTGTCTCAAAAATGGCCTGGAATTTCTATAGCATTAAAACTCTTGAGAACCCTGCTATGTTCATTTCCTCTCTTTTATCCACTTGAGTGGTTTTGCTTGGATGACTAGTATTGTGGCCAATCAGATAACTAAGTTTGAAAGGGCTTCTCTTTTGCCTAATCAGTCTTATTCTGGGGAAAGTAATGAATGGATACACCAATCAATTGTGTTTTTATTTTTAATAGTTTGTCTGCTATGTTCATTTAATAATTATATAACTGTCAGCTTTAGTGGGTACAGCTTGTCTTAAGTTTAAATGTAATTGTTTTCTGTCTTATGAAAGTATTGTTAACAGTTGTTAGGCCAATGTTGTATTTTAGTCAGGGTAGTACAGACAAATATTATAGTTACAGTGACGAATCAAGACATTTTCCTTAACGTCATGCTGTTTTGTTGATGTTGCTTTCCCTGTCACAGAGTTTATGTTTGTTCACTCCAACGGGGGCAAAAGAGGGGCTTCCTGGGCTCATCCCCTCTGGTCCCATCACGTTTGGGACCACCATCGCCGCTCACGTTGCAAAGACACGCAAGACACTACTTGTAGAGGACATCATGGGGGTGAGCCATATGCTGTTTTCGCTCATTTCCAAGGTCCTCAAAATAATGCAGCTCAATTTGACAGTATTTGCACTAATAATTCTAATGGCTATTTCTACTATTTTAGCAAATATATATTTTTTAAAATTACCTAAAGAGGATGTGAAATTTGTCGCTACTCTGATTGTGTAATGTCAGATCCAGTTTGTCATACACTGGGAGCAATTAAACTGCACACCATCCTAAAAGTGTTAAAAAAACATGGGGACCATCCAGTTGTGAGCTTCAGCAAAAGTTAAATGACATGAAAATTAAGAGTAAAGTATTTTTTACAACATATTTTACTAAGAAATCCTTATGGTAAAAAGACTGACTTTGCATGACAAAATAACAAAATAGTTATTTTAGAGCAGTGTTTCTCAACTGTGGGGTTGCAAGAGCCCTTTGAGTGGGAGTGAGTAGTCAAAGAAACAACTACAAAAACGTATTTCTAAAATAAATTCTAATGGGAACTTTTTTAAAGATTTGCATGAAAACTGTTGACTCTTCAGCAAAGATTTTGCTCTTCTGTTAGACAAGAAGGCCAAACATGCCAAAATCATGCTTCAAAGTGTTTCCTCTTTCTCACTACCCATGATGATTGGGCGGTCAGGGTTTTCGTGGGGATTCCCCAGGGGGAGTGTGCAGTTGCGGTACATGCCCACAAAATGCTGCCACCTGGTTAGGATCATCTGCAAGTCCCATCCAGCACCTGTGAGACCACAGCAGTTCTGATTGCTGTGCCTTATAGTGCTGCTGGACAGGCCGCCTCTGCCCTGCTTGCGATGGCCACCCTGCAAGTCTACCAGGCCAAAGCACTCATTGCACAAGGGCAGTTCTGAGCCAGGGTTGATGCAGGAACTGCGCACGGTGACTGACCTTGATGAAAGTCCCATCCGTCAAATAATGTCCACCTTGGTGGTCCATAAGCACCCTCTGGCTAGACCTTGCAGAGATTGCTAGATGTCGACAAAGTGCACTTTCTCGATGCTCCCATCTCACAAGGTGGCCTTTGACTCTGCCCAGCAGTTCTCTGCAGTCCAGAAGCAGGCTGACGCCAGCAAGAGCCTGCCCTGACATGCTACCAGACCGTCTTGAGATGCCCAAGAGCGTAGTCACCTTCTGGGGGGAAAAAAACAACGCTCCATGTTGCTGTTAATCATCCAAACGGTCGGCAAAACAACACCCATGAGACGGGCGCCCCGGAGATGGCGGGAGCTGCTCTTACCTGGAGGAGGGCCGGGTGCAGATTCTTCTGCTGCTTCCTCAGAAAGAGTTTATTTCTGTTCCGCCATTTGCCCAACGGCCTGCGGCACCCGAATTCTTAATAAAGACGAGCAGCTTCCTCAATCCCTGGGTCAGGAGAAGTGCGGTTTGACAGTTAGCGACGCTATGCCTTGCCACTCTCACCCCACACTTCTTTCGCCAGCAGGCAAGAGTGCGAGGATGTCTCCTCACGCGTCTCCAGCCACTCCCTCGCAGGAACCATGGAGCCTGGTAAGTGTTATATCACACTCACGACCTCTACACTGGGACATTGTGCCTTTTGAGCCAGGTCCCTGGGCTCCACCTCACTGCCCCACGGTGGGTTTGTCTGTAGTTCCATTGGTGTGTGTTGCTTGGGGTCTGGGGGCTGGCTATTGGTCTCCAGCCTGGCTCGCTGGCTCACTCATACAAACAGACTTGCCTATGTGATTCAGTTTGCCCGGTGCCTGCTGCCTCGGGCTCCTGGACAGGACCTCGATTGCAGTGGCACATCAATTGCCTCGAGTTGCTAGCTGTACGGCTTGCTCTGCGCCGCTTCAGATCGCTGCTACAGGGCAAGCATGTGCTTGTCTGGACGGACAACACTGTGGCCGTTGCGTAAATCATTCAACTATCAGGGTGGTCTACACTCCCATGGCATGTTGCAACTCACCTGCCATCTCCTCCTCTGGAGTCAGAAGCATCTGAGGTCACTTCATGCCATTTATTTTCTGGTAGAGCTCAATCATGCTGCCGACAAGCTCTCAGGACAGCCCACATTCCTGGGAGAATGGAGACTCCACCCCCAGATGGTCCAGCTGATTTGGAGACGCTTCGGGGCTGCACATGTAGACCTGTTTGCATCTCCGGACAAGTCCCACTGCCCGTTGTTTTACTCCCTGACCGAGGGGACCTTCGGCATGGATACACTGGCACCTAGCTGACCTCGAGGGCCTATGCAAGTAGGCTTGTAGAGCCACTCCCCTCCTAGGATGGGATATGTGCGATTATCTGCTCCCACCTGGCGCACCCTGCATGGAGTTCCTCAAGCACCTTCGGCAGTCAGACATGGCGGAGACGTCAGACGTTAGGTGTAGCACTCTTGTGTATGCCCAGAAGGTCAGCCCCTGTGCTAGACTTGATGCCCATGTGTTGTGATTCCCTTACGGGTGATCCCACATGTGCATTCTTCCATGGTCCGGGGAACCTTGTCGCCCTGTTGGCGAGCCTGTGTCTTTGGCGAGCCCGTGCCCGCCCTGCCATCTCTGCTTGGTATTGACTTCACCCTAGCTAGGCTGGGTCCACCACAGAGCCCTTCCATATGTAGCACTGCCCTAATGGTCAGTCTATATGTGTAATCTCTACGTTACCTCCCTACAGGCAGGATTTGTTCTCCATAACATCCCTTTCCATTTGGATTAAGCACACTTTCCCAATGTTATCCAATATCTCGCTGTGTGGGTCAGAAGGAACAGCAGTGATTGACACTCTCTCTGCTTTAAAGCCCTGTCCTTTCTCCACCCCAGCAGGTGTGGGGGGATTAGGCGGCTCACGTGGGGCACTGGAAGGGCAGCATTTGTGGCGTTTTGTTAGGGATCCCAATTCGTCAGTTCATGTCTCACGTAACATCAAACGTGGCTGACTGATAGGGAACGTCTAGGTTAATAATGTGACCTCCATTCCCTGAAGGAGGGAACGGAGACGTTACGTCCCCTCTCCACAATTGCTGTAGCATCGCTGAACAGCCAGGACACACCGTCTTGGCTCCTCAGCGCAAAACTTAACTGAGCGAGTGCATCCTCGCTTCCATTCATACTCGCTTTAGCAGGGCGTGGTTCGTAATGCAAATCTCGCTCACCAATGTCCGTTGGCTGCTTTTGTTTACACTCGGCGGTGATTGGGGTCTCGGGGGAGATACATTGACGTTTTGTTCTAGAACATAAATTACACACACCCATACCAAAAACGCACATTTTCAAGCAGTTTTTTTGTGAAAACGTATGTTTCTAATAAGTAACTAGATAAGACAGCTTGGGGGTGTGAGTGTGTGCAGTTTACATTGTAGAACAAAATGTCTAAGTCTCGTCAAATTCTGTTTACCACAGGCTTTATTTCACTCATAAATTGCAATCCCCAATATAAAACCCCATAGGAAAATCTCAAAGGGACCAGTGGGTTCTGACGTCATCCCTGCACCGCTCTATTCTAAAATTATTTTCTTAACTTAATAATAATAATTAGGGCCGATTCAAACAGTATGTATTTTTGCGGTCAAAATTAAATGCATACAACTTCCTAATTACGATGTTAATTACCAAAAATCAATAAAGTTGGTATGTCGTCTGTTAGCTGGAAAGATTTGCGTGCAGGTTTGATGTGCATTCCGTTCATCAGGATCAGTGTCCATACCATAACTATATTTGGTCTCTGGCCTTCTAATTTAAACCTTTTTAATTTTTGATCATATGTATACAAAGCTGTAGGAATATGAGCATTATGTGTAAAATGTATTTGATACTCTAAAACAGTGGTTGGCCATATGACCTACATTCTCCAATGGTCATTAAGCCGTGACCCAAATATTTAGGAATTTTATATACAGTAGTTATTTAAAGCAAGCTTGTAGTCATTTCAATACATAACAAAAATAAATTATAGAAAGAAAGACATACGTTTACAATATTTGTAAAAAAAAAAAAAAAAAAATTTTAAAAAAAAATGGCTGCAGAAGCTCTATAGTTTGTAAAAACTAAAAATAGCATGTTCGTGAACTGATGGACTGTGAGTCTTAAAAAGTCTTAATTCGCCCTTACACAAATTAAGGCCTTATAACGGTCTTAAATCAGAGCAGAAAGTCTTAAATTCACAAAGTCATGGCATTAAGTGTTGCATGCTTTGCAAAAAAATGAAAATCTTTCTCAGTATTTTTGTGCTGTTTTCCTGTACAAATATCTATACAAGTTTAAATTAAGATACATTTACTTTCGATGCAAATGTAAAATGAAGTCTTGAGAAAATTGAACAAAATTAAGTGAGTTTATGCTTAAAACAAGAACAAATATCTGTCAAAACTTTTTATTTGGACTGGAAAGCAAGACAGAAATACTGAGGAAGAACACATTAGCAGTGTGATCAGAAGGTACAGTAAAAGTTATTTCCACATGGTAACACTTTACAATAAGGTCCATTAGTTTACATTAGTCAACTACCCTAGTTAACATGAAATAAGAATGAACAATACTTCTTCTGCATTTATTAATCTTAATTCATGTTAATTTCAACATTTACTAATACGTTATTTAAATCAAAAGTTGTATTTGTTAACATTAGCTTATGCACTGTGCACTAACATGAACAAACAATGAACAGCTCTATTTTTATTAACTAACATTATCAAAGATTATTAAATACTATAACAAATGTATTACTCATTGTTAGTTAATACATTAACTAATGTTAACTAATGAACCTTTTTGTAAAGTGTTACCATTTACATTATACGTAACATATACATTTACACTGAGAACATATTGATCTATTGTGTTACCTTCACGTTATTACTAAACATTTCTTTACTTGGTCTTAAAAGGGTCTTAAACAAGTTTTAAGTGTACCTTCATAAAATATGCAGAAACCCTGTTATAATAATTTTAGATAAACAGACAGACAGACTGACTGACTGATTGATTTCCCTGTGTGATCCCTGTGTGCTCTTTTTTTTTTTTTTCTGTAGGATGAGAGATTCCCTCATGGCACAGGGCAGGACTCAGGGATCCGTGTACATTCTGTTTTGTGTCTACCCATCCTCACCGCCATCGGAGACCTCATCGCTATCCTGGAGCTGCACCGTCACTTGGGCAGAGAGCCCTTCAACCTCAGCCACCAGGAGGTACTCTAACGGAGAAAGAGCTGGTATTTTTTACACATCTAGTACCCATGTGGCTCTGCTCTCAGTTCTTTTAGCCAGGCTGCACTTTTTCTTCAGGACTATTCAAGGAATTTCAGGAACCAGCCCCTTAACTGTAAAAATAACAGATAAACTGTAATTGGACGCTTCTCATGTTGGTCAGACAGTCTCTTACTGTTTAAAGGTACAGTCACATTTACTGTTGTTTGGTGAATTTTTATAGGCGAAATACAGTCATTTCAATAGGAATCCCCCGTGATTTGGAATTTCATGTGATGGACAAAAGATTTCCCAACGCAAATTTCGCAAAGGGTTCAGGTTTTTCAAAGTTTCCCCATGTTGACCAACAGAAAGCTACTTGGTTTGAAAGTGACTTCTGTGGTGGCTGTGGTTTTTACATTGCTACGCTATTAACAATACACAATAGACCTTTTTTCAGCAAAATTATACTGTAATTTCAGTTATCATAAATGGGTGGTCCTTTCTTGTTCAGTACAAGTTTCAATATGGACCAGACCTTATGCCATCTAGCAATTTACAGTACATTGAAGTAAAGTACATTATAAATGGTTTGGTTGGTTCCTTTGAATAGTTCTGTTGTGTTATTTCATAGTTTGATGACTTTATTGTTATTGGGAAAAAAAGGGATGGCAAACTTCCCTCCACTGTCCTGCAGAATTTAGTGCCATCCCTAATCAAACACACCTGTATGTAATTTTTAAGTAAACCTAAAGACTTGGCTATGTCAAAAATTCGCCTCTATACCCTTACATAGTGCACTATTTGAGGGGACAGACATTTGTAGTGTGTCCATAGTGGACGTCGCACTCATGCAATCCCATAATAAACCTCAATAACGAGTGTACAACCGATGTACACAAAACAGCTAGCCGCTAGAAAATACCCGTGCCCTGTGAGCATTGCGCCAAATAAATTCACTGGATGAGGGTACAGTATAGGGGGTGATTTCAGATACTGCCTCATGGTAGATTTTTCAGGTGTGTTTGATTAGGGATTGGAGATCAACTAAAAAAAAAATAACAATAAATGTGCAATTGTATTTATATTTTGGCTAACAAGACATTCAACTGAGCGAGGCGCACAGAACTATGAAGTTCTGCCTGCTTATGGAGTGCTGCAGGTGCGTCTATTGCATCTTTGGCTAAGTGTAACATGTTTTTTAGGTTGCAACAGCAAATTTGGCCTGGGCATCTGTAGCCATACACCAAGTTCAGGTGAGTACGTTTGAGAAAAACAATGCATTGATTAAACCTTCTGTTGCATTAACTTTTTGATTTGGTTGTACACATGTGTTTTGATCTCTGTAATCCACTGTGTACATGGATCAGGTGGGCCCAGTGTAAGCAACCAGACCACACATTTAAACACACTCGTCTCAGGAGGTGTAATTAATGACAATGCGGTCTTGTTTGTACTTAAACGAGTGCACGACGTGAATGACAACACTCTGGGCTTTAATGTCCCTGTGCATCACAGAGCTCTCTGGGAGTAAGCAACTCTCTCTGTGGGACAAACCTTCTCAGAAGAACATGGTCCCGATAAGCACAGTAGACAAGGAAGACCATAAGTAACACATTTTAATGAAAGGGCTTAAAGGAATGGGTCACTCAGAAATTACATTGAATCATTATTTAATTGAATTCTGAATAATTGTACGCAGCTCTTTTCCATACAACAACAGTTCTTTGTGGCTATCTGTAATTCTCCAAAAAAGTTCTCCTCTTAGTGTTCTACATTAAAAAATAACATCATATAAGTTTAGCAGGAAGGTGAGTAAATGATGACTGAATTTTTATTTTTAGGTGAACTATTTCTTTAGGGTGTGTTCATCCAAAAATGGCAATTCTTGTAATTTCTTGTCATCATCTAACCCTCTAGCCGAATTATGTATGATTTATGTAGGACAAAAGGCCTTTTATAGCAAAAAAAAAAAAAAAAAGAACAAGTAGATGTAGAATGAAGTGCTGTTATCAAATTTTTATTCAGCAGATTATAGATCAAAACATTCTAAAAGGTTTAACGGCTTGGCTGGTGATCAACATGATCAGTAATGCATGGAATACACTTAGAGAATAATTTCCAAGAAGACAGAATTATCAGTTCGGACACCGACTTGTGGTGATTGCCATCTTTAAACTTTCATTTCCTCTTTTGTTCACAGGTCTGCAGAGGTCTCGCCAAACAGACGGAACTCAACGACTTTCTCCTAGATGTGTCAAAGTAAGCGACTTTATGCCTAGAAAGTGAGTATTGGTGGAATCTCATGAAATGTGTGTTTAGTAAAGTCAGGATGACTGATTGGATGGAGTACATGCACACTTGGGTTTTGTTTGTTAACCAATTAGTCTATAGAATGTAAATGTTTGAAAACCGCCAAACTGATCCCAAACCAGACAGAATTTTGCCCACAAGCCCAAGCCAATTTTTACCCTCACAATCCAATTCAAAACCATCCAATCTGGCAACACTGGTTAAAAAGTCTATTTTTGTTTTAGAACCATTAAAGTCTTTTTGCATTGTGACATTATTTTCATGAACCTTAGGTATTACAGTGTAGGAAATATGTTTAATTACCATGCAAATCCAAAAAAAAAAAAATTCTTAATCTTAAACCCTTTCAATATTCTTTTGATTTTTGGGTTAAATGCACCCTGATATGTTTTCTTGAGATTCCTCCAAGACCTTCTCCATACTGTTGAAATATTTCAATGTTTATTGGCTTTTAACATTATAATAAATAACCAATGTTGTAAAAAAATACATGCATTCGTGTTACACTGTGCCATACGTTTATCCATTTAAAATGACAGGTGTTTCCCCCTTTTCAATTTCAAACAGAACGTACTTTGACAACATAGTGGCAATAGATTCTCTACTTGAACATATCATGGTGAGTAGGTTTTCCCTCTCTCTGTAGGGTCACATGCTTGGTCATGAGGACAAACATGCTGTTCTTCTGTCGCTCATCTGTGTCACCATCAACGCCAAAGAGATTTGTGCTATGAAAGACCGTCTCTCATTTGTTTGCCATGTTCTGCGATAACCCCCTACAAGTCACTGCTCACCCCACCAGCCTTGGGCTTGTTGTTAAACGTTCTTTTTCTTATTGACTCACATGTTTGAGTTCTCTAGGTCGCAAATATTCATACAATCCAAGTATCAGACCACTGGCCCCCTCATGTCTCTGTCATGTTGAGTAAAACAGCACGGGAAGTGATTCAAATAGGTCAGGGAGAGGACAGGCATCTCTCTGAGCTCTTGGCTTCCCTCTCAGGGACTATTTCAAATATTACCTCCGGTTTTGAAAGCATGTCCTTGGAAATATTAGTAGTTAAACGTCTTTCTTAGTTTCAAGAGATTTCTCACTTGTCCGCAGTTTCATAAAGCTGAAGTTTATCTTGGAGGGGATGAGACGCAATGTGTGACCAAGTTGTGAAATCCAGAGGGAAGAACAAGTTCCTCAGTTTCTAGTTTCACATAGACACATGTATATTGGTATATCAGCGTTTTTCATAATATACTCCACGAATATAATACAATTTAATGACTGCAAATGAGATGTACACTTGAGATTAACACATATAAGATTTAATCAAAAGTCACTGATACTTTTAAAAACAAATATGTTATCCATCAACATGCTGACAGTAGATTAATATGAATAACAAAAGAAATTGTGCTTACCGATGCTGATGAACTCACTGCAGATGAACCACACTGTAATAATGCTGTTAACACATGTGTTGCATTGGGTTGTGGAGAAATGTCATTAAGGAAAATGCCTGTTTTTTTGTGTTTCAGATATATGCAAAAAACCTGGTTAATGCGGACAGATGTGCGCTTTTCCAGGTGGATCACAATAACAAAGAGCTGTACTCTGACTTGTTTGATATCGGGGAGGAGAATGAAGGGAAGCCCGTCTTTAGGAAAACCAAAGAAATTAGGTGAGCACCCACAGTTCCTCACCCAGTCACGTTGGATTCTTTACCTCCTCGTAAAGTACTTGAATTTATTTATTTATGTAAAAATGTAGTTGGAGTTACACAAAGTCACAAAATTTAGAATTGAAGAACTGACTGTTGACAGTAAATCTGTATAATATCAGGCTGCTCGATGACAGGCATCAGCGTGTATGCTCAGTATCCTTTATTTAGAGTAATGAATGAGACATTCCCTTGTTAAAAAGAAGTGGGCTTAATTATTGTAAGGATTGAATGTACACTTGTAGTGTACAGCCATGAGCAAAAATATTTTGGGAATTTTGTGTTTTGCAAAGTTTGCTGCTTCTGTTGTTGTGGCAACGATTCACGTTGTTTCTAGATTGTTGTGCAGAGTGATCAGATGCTTTTTAAGCTTCACTGGCCAATTATTTTTATTACAAAAACCCTGCCATAAAATGACGAGTTAACATCATTTCACTAATCATATCTTCAGCACATGGGAAAGTGTGAACAAGTACTAGTAGTCAGGTGAAGTCCCTCTATCATTCTGATATAATTAATCAGACTGATTGCCATAAAAGGAGGGAAGATATTCTTCCAATCATTGTGTTCTTGAGTTAGCAATGGTTATCTTCAAAGTAAGACGTGCAGTCATCACACTTTGCGTCAAAATGGAAAAGAATTTGGACAACAGTCTGGTGTCAAGAAGGGCAGCAAAGAAGTCACTTCTCTCCAAAAAACCCGCATCAAGAACAGACTGTAATTCTGCTGGAAGTACAAGGATTGGACAGCAGAAGACTGGTGCAAAGTTATTTTCTCTGATGAAGCCCCGTTCTGACTGTTTGGGACATCTGGAAAATCGATTGTGCGGAGAAGGGTGCGACTTCAGGACAGCCATTAAAATGTTGTATCCGTGGCCAGGCAACTCCCCGGATCTTAACCCCATAGAGAACCTGTGGTCAATCCTCAAAAGCCGAGTGGTCCACAAACTGTGTTCAACTTCCAGCACTAATAAGGCAAGAATGTATCACTATCAGCCAGGATTCAGCTCAAAAGATGATTTCCAGCACGCCAGAGCCAATTGCAGAGGTTATGAAGAAAGGTCAACACTGTGAATATTTGCTCGTTGCACATATTGCATGTTTTTGCCAATGAAAGCATTTAAAACGTATTAAATGCTTAGCATTGTTTTTCAGTATACCGAGAAATGTGAAAAAATGATCTACAAATACTGAAGCAGCAAACTTTGCAAAACAAACTTTGTCACTGCCAATTCTTTTGGCCAAAAACTTCAATCTTAAATGTATATTTAAAAAAACTGTACTTGCGGATTATATAATATTAATGGAATAATAGGCCTTAAAGATAGTACACTTTCATGACTATGTTTCTTAACACACTTAAGTACACTTTTCATAATGCACTTTGTAAAAATGGTCAAATTAAAAGTTTTACTTTAAAGGGATAGTTCACTTTGGAATTAATTTTTGGTGTATTTTAGCTTACCTCAAGGGCATCCAAGATGTAGGTGTCTTTGTTTCCGCAGTAGTTTAAATTTTGATATTTTTAGGTCAAACCGTTCTTGTCTGTCAGTCATATAATGCAGGTCTATGGTCACCACCTCAAAGAGCATGCACAGAGAAGTCCAAATTAAACATGATTTAATGACTCGTAAATGTAAGTACACATTGATGGCCGAAGACACGAAATGAGCGGTTTGTGTGAGAAACCGAACAGTATTTATATAGTTTTTACCTCTTGTAAACACAGCCATGTCCAAGTGATCTGATGGTGCCGGCGCTTCGGTCTTTTTCGGCAAGCGCCGGAAGTGATCTCTCGCGCGTGTACGTCACTCATACAATTGTTTTATTTTTAATTTTTTTAATTGTTTTCTTTTACAACGGTTTAAACATCCCGGATAAGCGCAAATTAGTACCATTTTAATTAGCCGTCTTACCTACAATCTCTGTTCTGTGTAAACAATGAGTGACGTACACGCGCGAGAGATCACTTCCGGTGCTTGCCTGAAAAGACCGAAGCGCCCGCGCCCTCAGATCACTTGGACGTGGCTGTGGTTACAAGAGGTAAAAACTATATAAATACTGTTCATTTTCTCACACAAACCGCTCGTTTCGTGTCTTAGGCCATCAATGTGTACTTACATTTACGAGTCATTAAATCATGTTTAATTTGGACTTCTCTGTGCATGCTCTTTGAGGTGGTGACCATAGACCTGCATTATATGACTGACAGACAAGAACGGTTTGACCTAAAAATATCAAAATTTAAACTACTGCGGAAACAAAGACACCTACATCTTGGATGCCCTTGAGGTAAGATAAAACCTACCAAAATTTAATTTCAAAGTGAACTATCCCTTTAAAGGTACATTTTAAATCATTATGGTTTAGTAATATTTTATCATGCTTTAAAGAAGTATACTTGATGTGTTGACTAACATACTTAAGCAAATGCAAAGTACTTGATTATAATTGAACACACTTAGGGCGTTATGTGATATATTTAGTATATTTGGATTAAACTTCATCATTACAAATGTGTTAATTACTAATATATTTAATACATTACATACAACCGACTGGAGCAGACGGTAGCGAGTTTGCCCATGACACGCATATGAGCTGGCACTGATTGATTGATTGATTGATTGATTGATTGATTGATTGATTGATTGATTGATTGATTGATTGATTGATTGATTGATTGATTGACTGACAGAGACAGGCAATTTGGACAAAAATCATAATGGTCGTAAATATTGTATTTTTGATTTCGTAGTGAAATGTGACCTGGACATGTTTTCATGAGATTCACTCTTGAATATCTGAGACTAAGCATACATCATATATACTGGTAACTGAACTGAAACACTCACCCCCAGGTTCTCTATAGAGAAAGGAATAGCTGGTCAGGTGGCACGAACAGGAGAGGTTTTGAATATTCCGGATGCCTATGCAGACCCCCGTTTCAACAGGTAATAAAGATTTTCATTTTCCATGTAAAACATCTGAGATTACTTTAAGCCATTTTGTTAAATAACCAGGCTCTACAATTAGTAGTTAAAGCTTGATGAATGAGTAAAGTAACATACCGTAATACACAGGCACTGCACTGACATGTTGTTCGAGGGCTTAGACAACTGTTGGAATTGTAAAGTTACAGTATCATGGCAATGATCCAGGTTTTGTCCGTGATTATTATTTAGCAGGATGAATCTCACAAAGCCTGTCATATGTCATATTTGAACCAAAGAAAGAAAGAAAGAAAGACAGAAAAAAGAAAGAGAATTTTTTTTTACCATGGTACAAAATAATCTCATTCTCATTACTCTAATGTGGAAGTAATAAATATTATTTAAATAAAATATTAATGCATCATGCTTTGTTGTACTGCCAATATAATACAGTATATATAGTCCTCAAATAATATGAGTGTATTGTTGAGTTGGACATATGGACACACAGTGGTCTGTGGTTCTAGGTGTTAAAGTGGACATGTCAGATGAAAGGGGCTTCTGGATTTGTGTAAATCTGGAATAAGATGATTATGCTAAGACCAGATGAGCCAGCGCTAGAACCCGTTGTGTGTTTAACTCAATCCCTTACTCAATCATAATACAAGCAAGCACTATGGATGTTCAGCTCTGTGTATGTGTGCATTTGTGTGTGTCGTCTGTTCTGCTTTTCACAGAGAAGTAGACCTCTACACTGGCTACACGACGCGGAATATCCTGTGCATGCCCATAGTCAGCCGCGGGACTGTGATCGGTGTTGTACAAATGGTGAACAAGCTGGGAGGAAGTGCCTTCACTAAAACTGATGAGAACAACTTTAAGATGTTCGCCGTCTTCTGTGCTTTGGCCTTACACTGTGCAAATGTAAGTGCGCAGACATGTAGCATGACCTGGAGTCTAATAAAACATCTGTCTGCAATAACATCACACCTCTTAGAGAATGGGAACGTTTGGAAGAAACAGGCTCAGGACTGTCAGCCACTCGGCCCTCTGTGGGGTCACTTACGAGTCTCGTCTCATAGCAGATTTTAAAATGACTGAAGCATGGTAATATTTATGTTAATATTATTTTTATTTAGACAGAATTCGACACCTCGCATGTTATGCCAGGGATTTTTTTTTACTCTTTGTCAGATTTATTAGAGGTGGAGTGAAAGTTGTGGTCGACTGATATATTGCTAAGCCTGATAATTTTGCATTGTTTGATTTTGAACATTGTCCGATTTTATTTTTCTTTGGCCGTTGTGTCGATGTGATAAAGACTTTTAGTTTGACAGCGTTGAGAACGAGAGCATCGGAGCTTCCTTTCTCCATCTTCATTAGTTTACTGTCTCTATTCGAATAAATTATTAGACAAAACTGTAGGTACAAAGAATTATAAAGTTTACTTTTTTATTATTAGTAATAGAAAGGCAAACTTTAAAATATGCTCCCATCTGATCGACAAACTTTAAAGCCGGCATTAAACAGAAGTTGCGATAGTCTTTTCTTTCCTATTGTGGCGTAAATATGAGGGAAATGGCTTCTTGAACAAATGTGAAAAGTAAAACAAACAACTTGAAAATAAACAACTTTGTAGTTATATATTTATTTCAGATATATTACAGATTCATATTGTCTTAACCACTTGAATGCGTAAGTGCTCACACCATAAATAATGTATGAAAACTCTCTGTGTTCGTACAGTAGCGCTCCTTTGCTTCATGGTTCAGCTTCTCTCGGTATAAGGAATCTTGTACTTGTTCCATTCAAGTCCAGTAAAACTTATTTGTAAAGCGCTTTAACAATACAAATCATTTCAGAGCTGCATTACTGAGGGCCATACTATTCCCTTAATGCTTTAACATTAAGAAATTAGGGTGATTTGATGATATATGTTGATTAAATACATTATCCACTTGCTGAGATCAAGCTTTGTTATTTTATCTAGCAGATATATCAGTGCCACTTTTTAGTTATTAAAAAATAAACTTGTGTGTGGTCCAATAGAAGTTGGTCGCATGGTTTCTGTGTGTATGAAATGTGATGAATATGTGCAGGCCGTTCTTAAAAAGTTTTAACGTAAATACAGTCGGGGTTTTTTCTCTGGCGATTTGTATTTATCATTGAATGCTCCTGAGTGTGTCCTAAAATATGGCGACGACTACCCAGAATGCAATGCGTAACGACGTAGATTCCCATTCTCTGTTGTTGCTGTGATGTGAGTGACCGGTTGCTGTAGGAGAGAGGTCATTGTCCTTGCCTTTCGCCAGTTAGCAAGTCATTAGACAAGACAACATTTAGTAAATATTATGTAATGTAAATATTTATTTAATTTCAGCAATTGTTATTCATGTGTTTTTACTATCTTCATAAAGTGTGATATAATTTATATCGGTCATTTGCCACCCTGCTCTCTAAGGTATTGACCATCAAAAAATTAATATCAGTCGACCACTACACTAAAAACACTGAACAACCATAGAAGATTATAGAAAGATAGATAGAAAGAAACCACAATATTTTCAGTGGGTTAGACTGTTTTGCATGTATATTTTGCATCTGCGTAAACACGTGGGGTGTGTGTATGTGTTTGTGTGTAGATGTATCACCGGATAAGACATTCAGAGTGCATTTACCGGGTGACTATGGAGAAGCTTTCGTACCACAGCATCTGCACATCAGAGGAGTGGAAGACCCTCACACAACTCTCTCTCCCTGCTGTCATTTATAAAGAGATCGAACTGTGAGTTTACACTCTCATACTTCCAAATCACTGCTACATAATGGCTTTCAGAAATAAATCAGTTAAATAGCTGTAAAATAGGCTCTAAACGCGTTGGACTGAACATTAGTGTTATATATTACAGTTAGGTGAGTGCATAAATTACTTGTTCAGATTATTACTACAATAAATAAAATCATTTTTCATATTAATTTTATCATATTTCTGTTGCCAACATTTAATAAAAGCAATAAGGCAGTCGAGATTACTCACTGTGTGTGTTTTTTGTTATATCACAGATGTGTCAAGGTTTTAATACTTTATTTTCATTATAAATTATTAAAGTGTTGTCATGATCCACAGCAACTAGACGTGCATATTTGTTTGGTGTTATTCTCATGCGTAGATAAGTGTGCATGATATTCGAGTGCCGTTGTAATCAGGATGTATTGAGCATTATTCGTGTTCATGTTTCACCTGTCCAGATTTGAATTGCAAACAAACTGTCATATTTCTGTCTAAGGTTTCACTTTGACATTGCCCCTTTTGAGGAAATGTGGCCTGCAATATTTGTATACATGGTTCACAATTCTTGTGGGAAAAGCAGGTAAGAATGTGTACATTTCTATAAGCCCTGTGTGTTTTATCTATCCATCTATCTATCTATCTATCTATCTATCTATCTATCTATCTATCTATCTATCTATCTATCTATCTATCTATCTATCTATCTATCTATCTATCTATCTATCTATCTATCCATCTATCCATCTGTCTGACATCTATCTATCTATCTATCCATCTGTCTGACATCTATCTATCATCTATCTATCCATCCATCTATCTATCTATCTATCTATCTATCTATCTATCTATCTATCTATCTATCTATCTATCTATCTATCTATCTATCTATCTATCTATCTATCTATCTATCTATCTATCTATCTATCTATCTATCTATCTATCTATCTATCTATCTATCTATCTGTCTGTCTGTCTGTCTGTCTGTCTGTCTGTCTGTCTGTCTGACTGTCTGTCTGTCTGTCTGTCAGACATTCAGACAGACAAACAGATAGATAGAAATAGATAGACAGGCAGATAAACATCAGACAGACAGAGAGACAGACAGATAGATGGATGGACATTCAGACAGACAAACAGATAGAAATAGATAGACAGGCAGATAAACTTCAGACAGACAGATATCTGTCTGTCTGTCTGTCTGTCTGTCTGACGCTTATCTGCCTGTCTATCTATTCTATCTGTTTGTCTGTCTGATGTTTATCTGTCTGTCTGTCTGTCTGATGTTTATCTGCCTGTCTATCTATTTCTATCTGTTTGTCTGTCTGATGTTTATCTGTCTGTCTGTCTGATGTTTATCTGCTTGTCTATCTATTTCTATCTGTTTGTCTGTCTGAATGTTCATCTGTCTATCTGTCTGTCTGTCTGTCTGTCTGACGTTTATCTGCCTGTCTATCAATTTCTATCTGTGTGTCTGTCTGAATGTCTGTCTGACGTTTATCTACCTGTCTATCTATTTCTATCTATCTGTTGTCTGTCTGAATGTCCATCTGTCTATCTGTCTGTCTGTCTGACGTTTATCTGCCTGTCTATCTATTTCTATCTATCTATTTGTCTGTCTGAATGTTCATCCGTCTATCTGTCTGTCTGTCTGACGTTTATCTGCCTGTCTATCTATTTCTATCTATCTGTTTGTCTGTCTGAATGTTCATCCGTCTATCTGTCTGTCTGTCTATCTGTTTGTCTATCTGTCTGTCTGTCTGACGTTTATCTGCCTGTCTATATATTTCTATCTATCTGTTTGTCTGTCTGAATGTCCATCCGTCTATCTGTCTGTCTGTCTGACGTTTATCTGTCTATCTATCTGTTTGTCTGTCTGAATATCCATCCATCCATTGTATTGTCTATCTATCTATTGAAAGATTGAAAGTCTGGGATCAGAGTAGAACGATACAATATATACATGAAAGGCATTTGAAAAGTAGCAAAAATAAATGACCCTGATATAAAAAATATTTAAATCCGTTGTCTTAATAAAAATGAATTCTTTTGGACATAAAAGTGTGTGTAGGTGAAGAAACACCCCGCTTTGACAAGGCAAACGTGTACAGTCACACTTTCTTTGTGTAATAACAGCTTTGAGCAGGAGAAACTGTGTCGCTTCACTATGTCAGTGCGGAAAAATTACAGACGAGTTCCATACCACAACTGGAAACACGCTGTGACGGTGGCACACTGCATGTACGCCATTCTGCAGAAAACCACTGGGATATTCACAGAGCTCGAGGTCAGTATCATTCTCATAATAGCACTTCTTACAGTGAACTTACAAAAGAATCATTTCACATCAGTGTTGTGTTGGGGAAGCTACTTTTGAAATGCTAAACTATTAGCTACTAACAAGAAGTTAGCCAAGGTAACTACAGGGGTCCAGAAACCCATAAAGTCATTAAAGTCATAGTAATCTTACTCTGGCTAGCACTCACATGTCTGCCTTCCAGCGTATCACTCAGGGCAAACGTCATATGATGCAATTAATATTCATGAACCAACAAGTGCCTGGCACAGTGTGCCGAACCGCTAAACAACAAAGACCTAATTGTTAACTCAAATGCAATTGTGAGTGATGTTTATGGAAAATGTAGGTTTTATGCTTTGACATGATATCTCATTTGAGTCTATCCATGGCAATCTGACATTTATGTGACAGAAAATGTGATTTTGAGAGGCTGATGAGACTTCTTAAGGAGACAATAAAATATGTAACTAATGAAATAATTTATTATGCATTACAGTTTCTGGTGGCGGTGTCTAATTTAACTATTAGTACATTTATTAGAAAAATATAGATCACACTAATTTATAGTCAAAAACATTGTAAGGAACAAAAGCATTTAACTAAAGTTTTCCCTTCTTGTCTGATGGAGAAAGTAACTTGTTACTGATAAAGCTGCTCTATTATAAAAACACACACAAGTTACGGTCCGTTCACACCAAGCACGTTAACTTTAAAGCTTTGATAATAATTCTACTTCTATGAGAATAGCTATAACGACACGTCACACGGAGGAATGATAACACTGGAATTCCTTTCAGAGCGATTTTTTTCCAGTTGATGAAAGATAAAAACATTGACATTTAAAGAACTCGAGCGTTTAAAGCTACAGATAACTACAGCACACACTTATAATAAGCAGAACATTATCACCTGTTGGTGTGGATGCTGTGGAAGATATCTCTTTATAGTTATTGTTCTTGGTTTGAACGGGCCTTTACTGTTAGTAGCTCCATATAATAACTTTCTTGCTCGCTCACACAGAGGAAAGGCTTGCTGATAGCCTGCTTGTGTCACGACCTGGACCACCGTGGCTACAGTAACAGTTATCTGCAGAAGTTTGACCATCCGCTGGCCGCCCTGTATTCCACATCCACAATGGAACAGCATCATTTTTCACAGACGGTGTCCATCCTGCAGGTAAAGCTCCTACACACTGTGCCAGCTCAGAACGATAGTCTCAAACATGCTGGATGTGTGCGTTTACACTCACACTATATACAAGGCCAGTGCCCGCAAGCCAATTTTATATAAGTTTAACTGACATAGTCATTGAAGAATCTAAGGGAGTCCGTGCTTATATAACTTATATAAAATTGGCTTGCGGGCACTGGCCTTGTATATGAGCTCAGTGCTAGTTGTATCAAGCTACAGGTTTACTAAATACTGTTATATCAGAGCAGAACTTGCTGGAACCACAAACTTTATTGTCTTTTAGGCAAGACACCCCAGGTGAACAGGGTAAAAAAAACCTAACTTGACTATACTGTTGGTTAAATACATTTAGAATTGCAAATATTTTGTTTGCATTACAAGTTTTATGTTTACATATGCAAATGAGGCATTATCTAATTAAATATGCACTATTTTTGGATATACTTACACTAGATATAGCTAGGTTTTCTTGACATTAGAGACAATAGTTTTTACAGAGGGGATTTTGGATATCTCTTTTTATCACTCCATAAATTTGAAAATATTGTCTACAGCCAAAAAAAAAAAAAAATCACCATGTTTTAGGAATAAAATATTCTCAATAATAGGGCCGAGACTAGAGTTTGGAATACACAGCAAAAATAACTAGCTTAACTTTTATACATTTTAAGCATTATTAAAGACAAGTAAACACTCAGTAATTAAATAAGGAAATTAGCACTAAAGCACTAGGTATATAGTGTTGACTTTTGTGAATCGAAAGTGCAATTCAACTAAAAATGCGTAAGAAATGTCCCATATTAAACAGAGCATTGTCTTTCCGTGTGTGTTGTCAGCCATCTCTTTGGCTTTGCTGCCACTCTCCAGCAGAGCCAGATGCCTCATAAGTGGAGCTTTTGCTTTTTTATTGATCTCTTTTTTTCTCATAGCTGGAAGGGCACAATATTTTCTCCAACCTGACTTCCAGTGAGTATGAGCAGGTGCTGGAGATCATCAGGAAGGCCATCATTGCTACAGACCTCGCGCTGTACTTCGGCAACCGCAAGCAACTGTCTGAACTTCTGGCCACAGGGGCGCTGGACCTGAACAACCGTGCTCACAGGTTAGCGGTCGCACTTTTGCTCCATTATCTCAGAGCTCTTGGAAATTGGACCTCAACATCAGAGATATATTCAGGGAGCCACCGAAACAGTGTCATAAGCTGTGCTTGGATTGGAATACTAACATGTTTGAGTGAATCTTATGGAAATGGTTGCACTTTATTTTAAGGTGATAGACTAATTACACTAATATGTACTGAGTAATATTGATAAACCAAACCATAACATTGAAGTACATGTAGTTAAAGGTAAGTGGTTAGTAATTATGCATCATTTACTGTTATTACTATAGTAATGTGTAACTATATCACTTTGTAGACTTTAGTCGGGGTAGCGCCATATTTCATTTCTGACAGGAATGAAAACAAGGCTGTAAGGGATGGATGTACAGTGGGTTCAATGGTTTGTGCTATTTATTAATGACATACAGAATATTATGGAATTTTCCACCACTGAATAAAAAAGGTAATTGTGACTTTTTATCTCACAATTCTGACTTTTTTTCTCGCTATTGCGAGTTTACCTCTCGTAATTCTGACTCATTTTCTCAGAATTGGGTGATATAACCTCGAAATTGCGAATTATAGTCTGAATTGTTGTGAGATATAATTCAGATATAGTGGGGTTTTTTCCCTCAGAATTGGAATCACAATAGTGAGTTTATTAAAAGAAAGTCAGAATTATTAGACAAAAGTCAGAGTTGCGAGATATAAACTCGCAATTGCAAGAAAAAAAGTCACAGTTGCGAGTAAAAAGTAATAACTGCGAGACATAAACTGGCAATTGTGAAAAAAAAGTCAGATTTGCGTATTTATATCCTCAATTGCGAGTTTATATTCTGATATTATAACTCACAATTCTGAGAAAAAAAATCTGAATTGTGAGATAAAAAGTCGCAATTATCTTTTTTTTATATATATATACCGTGGCGGAAACAGGTTTCCATAGATTATGCAGCTGACGAAACATCTTTCCAAAAGACTAAATAAAAATTTGAAAATTGTGAATTCATACAGCGCATGTCTGTCCCTCGCAGCCTCGTTTTCATCAGCATAAAAAGCCTGATTTGATCCCTTTGATTAATTGCTGGTTGATTATTGGTCCACCACAGGGACCGTGTGATTGGTCTGATGATGACTGCCTGTGATCTCTGCTCTGTTACCAAACTATGGCCCGTCACACGAATCACAGCCAATGACATATATGCTGAGTTCTGGGCTGAGGTAAACCATATCATTGTTAGCCAAACAGGAATCTTTTTGTAGTAACAATATTTATTTGTAATAAAGTAAATCATTGTTCATATCACTGTATTGTTTTGAGCAGTATGTCAAATTGCAGGCCATTAATTGAAATTGTACTTCTTGTGTGTAATGACAGGGGGATGAAATGAAGAAGATTGGAATGCAGCCCATCCCTATGATGGACAGGGATAAAAAGCACGAGGTTCCCCAGGGACAGGTAAGTGAGAACTTTCTGTCATTATCAAGCTCCTTAAAGGCCGCCTAGCAAAATGTTTCTTTTCCTAGCCCATGCTTTGGAACAGCCTTAACACTGGGGGTGTGCCTAAAATGTGGCTCATTAGGTCAGCTGTTATATTTAGTTGTAGAGTCGAGAAGCCTGTTTTTTTGTACCTTACTCCTGTTTTTACCCATGTATTCAGGTGGGATTTTACAATGCAGTGGCGGTTCCCTGTTACACCACCCTGTCAGAGCTGTTTCCCCCCTCCAGTCCTCTGCTTACGTCTTGCAGGTCAGTCACACACTCATAACAACGTTTGACTGCATGAATGCTCCTGTACCATGGTATAATACACCATCTTCGTAACGCACTTCCATTAAACAAATTAAGGAGACTAATATATCCAAATCTGTTTGACAAAGCTAATATTATAAGACAGATGATGAGCCTTGTTCAAATCTGTTATAATCGCTATACACACCGCACTTCGTTACATTTTATATTAACGAGCCAAGTGGCCATGTTGGCAACTATAAACAGCCTACAAGCTGATGAAATATATTCAGTTGTTGCCAAGGTCTGTGGTTTTCACGCAGAATTGGGCTACTTTTATACTGTGTGTTGAAGCTGACCAACCCCCCCCCCCCCCCCCCCCCCAAACTCAGGACTCAATTTTACACCCCACCCCCCTCCCCTGGAACGCAATTGGGAAGGTTTTGGCTGTGATTGGGCGGGTTTGGAATAGCAGGTGGGCTGGTTTTGTTACGCAAACCTGGCAACCCTGACTATATTACTTAGTGGAAGCATTGCTTATTGTGATTATTATAATTTTATATTATTAGTTGATTGGTTTTCTTAATGAAATAATTGTAAGCTGATTAAAAGTGCAAATAAATAATTAAATAAATGACAAAATAATAGTAACTAGATAAAAACATTTACCAAGTCAAACTTTAATGTTGGGTTATTTAATATATTATTTGAAGTTTTAAGGTTTTAAGGCCATGCTGTGAGGTTGCTAGTGTAATCTAGATGATTGCCAGGGTGTTGCTATGTGGTTGCTAGGCCATTCTAGATGGGGTGTTGTGGGTGGTTGCTAGGGATTGCTATGATGTTGCTGAGGTATTATGGGTGATTGCTATGGTACTCTGGGTGGTTGCTAGGGTGTTGCTAGGGTGTTGCAACTATGCAGTTGCCAACAACACTCTGGCAACCATCCAGAATGATCTATGCAGTTCCTAGTATGTATTATCACATTGCTTGCATGTCTTAGCATGTTGCTAACATGTGGTTTAGATTGATGCTATGCTAGTTTCTAGATAGTCAAGCCAACATAATAATAATAAATCCATTAATTTATTTAAAGGGCTATATATAGAATTCAGAAACCCTTGTTATTAGCGACACTGGTGGCCGTTAACTGAACTGCAGCCAGCAACGTATTACTCTTGCTCGCACATACTATGTACATAGAGAGAGTGGCTCTTTAGGCATTATCCTGAACATTGCATAAGAATTAGTTTCCTGTGCCGTTGTAGTTGACCTTGTTAAATCATTACGGATTAATATTGTTTATGTCACTGTTACTGTGAAACAGCAAACCTTTTATTTTAGTTTGTGTTGTGCTGTGTTTGTTGACATTAGAGGACTCCATCTCTAAGCTAACGTTAGCTAGTGTTGCACACTTTGTCAAGTCCTTCACATAAAAATCAGTCTACAGGCTTTCATAGACAATTTAGGAAGTCAGGCAAGGTCTCGTTTTTCTTTCTTTTCTTTTTTTCGTTACAATCTGTTCACAATTGGCCATAAAAAAAGAAATTAATACTAAAATCCTCACATATGAACTCTTTAAAGCTTCAGTTTGCTACTTGCACTGCTTTGCTCAGGTCACATTAACCAGCTTCCATGATGTGGCCTTTGTGCTCGTTCTGATGTGAGGATGGGTCTGTGTGTCTAAACTACTCCCCCGTGCCCTAAACTGTAACCTCTGTGACCTCGATCTGTAGGGAATGCAAGCACAGTTGACAGCGCAATCTGAAAAGCCATGCCACAGTGTCAGACCCAGGTCTTTAACTGGAATCTGTGGGCAGCGGGTTCAAACGTCCCGGAGCCCTGCGTATTGTGAGATCAGAGAGGGACCAATAAATGACATCAACCTCACTAATTAAAAGGGAGAGTCTAATAGCCGACCATTTTCATCCTCTCTTATTGGCCTGTGTGCTACACGAATGGAACAAAAAGGGCAGATCTAAAAAACAACTGGACAAATTGAGTATGACCACCTCTTCCCTTCGTGTCTGGGTCAGATTGCCCTGACAGCATTGCCTCAGTTACTCTAGCCACAGCCTATCAGTTGACATCAACAAACAATCAATATTATTTATAAAAAACAATCATGAAAATAGTCAAAAACTAATTTCATTAGCGATTAGTTGGATCCATTATAAAATAATGGAAAAATAAAATAATTGTAATAATAATAAATAAATATGTTTTGTGAAATTCATACACAAGCACAAGTTATTTATTTTCTGAAAAAAGAATTTCAAGCATTTAAGCATGATTTTATGATTTTAAAAATAAACAAATTCAATCATATTTATCCAAAGTTTTTTTACGGATAATAATATAGCAAGAATACAAAATGTAAGTGTTTTAAATAAATGAAAATCAAATTTAAGTAAATTATAAATCGGAATGTTTCGATTTTACAAAACATCACCTGAAAGTCACCGTTAACCAAATCCTTCATAAAAATGGTTTATGTGTCAAGCAACTGAAACAATAATTCTGACTAAAAAATATTTATTTTGATCAAATATTTGTTGTTGGATGTTAATAAAAAACATTTTTATTTAAAGTCCTACACTACCTTTCAAGTTTGGGTGATCAATTTAATGGGTCAGCGACATGACGTGCATATTTTTGTGTCCTTTTAAAATAATTTGATAAATTCATGACATGTATCACTTTTTTCTATAAAACTTTATTCAGTGCATTAACATAATAAATATTATTGTATGTTTTGGTATCTTAAACCCCCAAAACGTCATGTGGCACAACGACTAAGAAAACTATTTAAAATGGTATTTTAATAATGAGAAATTCAAAATAAAATACTATGGCATAATTTATGTTTGAACCCTTTCCTATAAACAAATTTTGCAAATATCAGTAGTTTTAAAGCTGTTGAGCTCATTGAAAAACTTTTGTCCAGCAATTTGTATGCTCTCTATAGTCACAACTGCAAACATGGGTCTTTTATTATGAATTGACAAGATAATAACAGTAAACATGTATATAATGGATAATGTATCATTCAGAGGACCCCAACTGATCCAAACGGTTTGTAGATCTCTCTCAAATACTGATAAAAAAAGGTTAGGTGATCTGGTTAGGTTGGTTAACAAGAACAGTTGTTGTTTTTCTGTAATATTGTGAAGAGCTTTCTGTGTATGCAGGGAAAACCTGGATCAATGGGAACGAATTGTTCGAGGAGAAGACATCTCTACATGGGCTTCCACTGAGGACGACGAACCGTGCGAGACATCAGACAGCGGGCCAGTGAAAGTGGACAACTAAATCCGTGGCACCTGTCCCACAGCACCACCTACACCCCTGCCAGAGACCCTGGACTTCCTGTGGACAGTCCCTCGTCCTGCAGAGACACGAGGAAGTGCAGAGGGCAGGCCGGGACGGATACATTCACAAAAATAAACAAAACATAATGTTACCTCAGTGGGTGACGGAGGCGTACTCTCGAATGACATCAGGGCTCCCTCGTTGATGGCTGGGACTCTAGTCCGCTCTGTGCGGGATCACTTCTGCAGAATGGCCATCATTATTGACAGTACTTTTCCTTAGGAGGTTGCTTCTGCATCTTTTCTTTTAGGTGATTATTTTTCGGTTTCTTTCGTGGTCTTACATTTGAAGAGGCCTTAAATACGAACCTGCGTTACGATCTGGTTGGGTGACTCGAACTAGAACTAGAAGACGTTCGTCTGGTTTAAAATGGTACTTTTTATCCTGCTGTGGTCAAAAGCATACGCAAAGCTACTTGAGTGGATTTATTTTTTAAGATAGACAGAAGGAATGTTTAGTCGAAGCTAATACAATGAGGCACGGTGAACCCATCGCTCTGGTGGTCTGATGGATGTTTTATATAATATTTAGAGCAAAAAAAATTGTTTTGCAGTACTTGAAGAAATACAGAGTGGAGTTAAAAAAAACAAAAATCCCCCGCAGCGTGTCCTTTCAAAGCAAAGAGCTTTTGTGACGGTGTAAGTCTCACTCTGAACCTTACTGGAGTCACACACTAGTCACGGTGTTCCTCACTGAAATCTGCAGCATCTTCCAACCTGATATGAAGTTCAGCTTTAACCCGTTGAAGCTCGTAGCATCATTGAGTCATAGAAAGAATCAAATATTTGCAGTGTACCTGAAAAACTTTCAAAACTCAAAAACCTTCTTCCTAGCGTTTATTGGAACTAAGCTTCAAAAATGCCTCATACAACTGCCAGCATTTACACGTCAACTACAGCACACCTACTGGGTGTTCAGAAACAGAGCTCTTAAAAATGCCAACAAAACAACTCTTTTTAATTAAATGAATTGGATAGGATGGATAAATGGTCATGAAATACTAAATTATGACTTTACCAACATTATAAGTCAACCTCAGGGGGAAGAAATGTCAAAATAAAAAATATGATATGCATGGAAGCTTGTTTCCGCCACGGATTAAAAAAATGGAAAAGATAATTGCGAGTTTACATCTCAATATTCAGACTTATTCTGAGTTTATATACTGCAATTCTGACTTCTTTTCTCAGAATTGTGAGATATGAACTCACAATTGCGAGTTATCAAGTCCAGTTCATAGGAAAAATCGCAATTGCCTTTATTTTTTTATTCAGTGGCAGAAACAAGCTTCCATAAACATGGCCTATTTACATCATTACTATAAGAAAGGAACTCAGTGTGTGTACAAAGTAAGCGCTGTAAACTAAAAAACAACAATGATACCTAGATGACACACTGCAGATATATTTATTGTCATGATTTTTAGGGTAAGCGAGCATTTTTCTGACTTCTGACTTCTCCAAAAATGTGTCCAAAAAGAAAATATTCACAACCAGTCCGGTTGCTTGATTATGCTAACATATAAAATGGAACTATTTCTGATCCTGAAGCTATTTTAATTATTTGCCTCAAATAATTAATTTTATTATATAAGGTGCTACAATCTGTAAATTGATACAACAAATAACTAAATGATAAATGACTGAACATGTAGGTAAAATGCTGCACGCTTCAATGACTTGCTTATGTGGACTGACACCCTTCACTATGCCCCGCCTTTAAAACATTACTGACCAATCCCGCTTTAGCAACCGCTGCATCCACCATATAACCAGAGAAAAGTCCTTAAAAGGAATTTGATTGAAATCCTACAAAAATGTTGCTGTAGCACTTATAATAATGACACCCGAGAGATAAACGCATTACTTTACCAAATCTGAATAAACCTTGTGAAGTTCATTCTTCAAAGATTTTACTCGCGTTACTGTGCAATTTATCCATTTATTTTACACAAAATCAGATGAATAATAGCAACATCACTCTTCTTTAACACTTAATGAGCACATTTTGCTAAAATCACGTGGCTTACTGAAATATGTGGCACATTCTGTAAAGCGAGTAACAGTAACCAAGATGGCGGAGCTTAGTGAAGGGTCAATTGATAATGCATCTGACACTGACAGTTGCACATTTCAGAGAGGAAGATATATTTCATCTTGGCTACATCATGAATTGTTGAATGCAGGCTAAAGTGAATTTCAAGTCATGACCCAACAAATATCCATATAATGTCATTGTTTCAAATGGCTGAATTCAGTTCCACTCTTTGTTTGTTTTTTGGACCTGTGAGGCACCTGTAGTCCCTGCAGACGATGATGGAGCTCTGACTGACTGATGGCCTTCTGTAAATACTGCAGGACTGATGAGTGAATGTAATCAATACTGTCACAAACTGCTTCAAGATGCCTGTTAGTTTTTACGTGTACCAAAGGTGTACACCATCGGATGTGGGAATGTTAAACATTGCTTCCAATGGTTGTGTCGGCATGCGAGCGACATGCGCAAGTGTGTAGTAGAGAGATTGAGATTGGAGATGTAAGCTACATTCTAATGGTGCTATCTTAGGCAGTCATGCACTTTCTGATCATGTGCGCGTGTGTGTGTGTGTGTGTGTGTTCGCTCTGGAGTAATGCTACCAACCCCACCTACGGAGTTGAGAGGATCTTTTCAGCACCGCTCACCTCAGTCACCAAGATCATCCACAACCAGTCTTTTCCCTCATATGCACTATGTTTAGAGACTATTATTATGGTTATTAATATTATTGCTCCTATTATATTATTATTGCCACAATTATTGATTATTACCATGGTTATTTTGTTAGAGTTAAATTTTAAATTAACTTATATTTTTTTATACAAAGTTTAGCATTTTTTTGTTTTGTACAGAACAAATTGTACATTATGGAATAAAGCGTATGGTCATTTAGAGAAACTGCATACTGTTGCCTGAGATAACTGTCTCAACTCTAAATGTGAGAGACATAATTACTTTTATTAAATATTTCTGACAAATTCAAATTGTGTAATATTTTATTCTGTGAATTTTTGTTTATTTAACATTTAAAGGGGCTATATGTAGAATTCAGAGACCCTTGTTATTAGCGACACCGGTGGCCGTTAAGTGAACTGCAGCCAGCAACATGTTGCTTGTGATCGTATTCGTTCACACGTAACGTACAAGAGACTGAATGTGATTCAAGGCCCCGACATACTGCGAAATTCATTTTTGGGTTACACTTTATTTTAAGGTGACGTAGTTACATTGTTTTTACTCAAATAAGTACTGAGTAATATTAATTAACTACATGTTACTTGTAATTATGCATAATTTACTGTTATTACTATAGTAAGTACATGTAGGACAAAGTACACAACTTCCTTACTTGAGTGAAAGTACAGATAACTACTGGTCAAATATTACTCTGTTACAAGTTAAAGTTGTAAAGACTGATTTTTACTTGAGTAAAAGTACAGAAGTACTCGTTTTTAATAGCACTTTAGTATCAAAAGTAAAATGTCAATGCATTGTTTTATTATTGTAGCATTGTTGTATGTAACTTACAGTACCTTATGCCTCTGAGTCTGAGTCTATGCCTGCCTACCCTCATATCAGTATCACACTTATTTCTAGAACACAGTTCCAGTAGTAGTGGGGTTGAATGTGAGGTTGAATAAGTGCACTCAATAACGTCCACAATGGTTTCGGACACCCAAATGGCTGTTCCCTCAAATAGTGTTTATATTTAAAGTTAATATAACTTTAAAGTTATTTAAAGTTTTTTGGCTTTTAGTATGAATATGTTAGCCTCACTGTTATCTATAAGCTAGTGTGCTCCAAAACAATGACAAAATTCGCATTTAGAAGACCAAACCCAATGTTGAAAATGAAAATCAGGTTGATGTCAGATTGACGTTAATCTCCAACATTGGACAGATTGTGGTTGAAAATGAAAATCGGGTTGACGTCAGAAACCAACATCGGTCGTGTTCTGACGTCAACCAGACTTTCATTTCCAACCAAAATGCAACCCCTGCAACCAAAATCATCCCGACTGACGTTACTACTTTCTACTCAAGGACCTTGACAGAAATGTAGTTGAGTAAAGTACGATATTTGTCTTTCAAATGCAGTGAAGTTAAAGTAAAAAGTTTCCAGAAAAAATTATACTCAAGTACAGATACTCAAAAAGTGTACTTTGGTAGGATACCTGTGTGAGAAATCTGAGTACTGTACCTGAGTAACCAAAAATAAAGTTCATCTTATTCACAACATATCTAATACAGGTCAAGTTTATCCTAAATTATTATGGGATTATACAAAAGAGTCTCCTTGCCTTATTTTAAGCATGCCATACCACATTTGAACAGCAGGGCTGGGAAACATTACGGGAAGTAAAATGACAAAGCCTTCTGAGATAAATCCTGTTGAGGTTATAAAACAGTTTTGTGTTATTTTGAGACAATAGTGAATCAGATTTTCCTACATTCATTTTCATGGGGAGGGTAATATAGATGAATCACAGAGAAACTGTTTGGAAGCGTGCTGTGAGGGAAATAAACTAGGCTTACACCGTGTACAGTTGGAACAATTTGTTTCTTTTTACATTTCCATGCAAAAACTAGAAGTTGAAAACATGTAATTTTTTTCATGTGATATTTCTTTTATGCGTCTACTAAAGAAATTAGTGTCAATAATATATATAAATCATTTATATTTTCCACAGTTAGTTCATAAACACAAGTTTTGTTCCAACCCATGTCAGTTGAAACACTCATCTTTAATGCTCTAAAGTAGCCTATAACAATTTACCACCAGCAAATGTGTAGTAGCCCAGTTATTTAATAATAGGCATTGTGTAATATTGAGTGATTGATTGAGTATAATCTCTAAAGAAAATAAACAATATTGTTGTTTTCTTTGGCTTTCAGGTTTTACCAATTATAATAAGACTTGAATGACTGACTGACTGCCATGCACTATGATGCTCATATATGCATTTTAATGAATAAAGAGAAAATGAATAATTTAATTATATTGTATTATATTGTTGTTGTTTAATGAAAAAAATAATAATAATAATGATGTATATTCCCTATGGCTTCCAGGTTTCAAAAAAATTAATTAGACTTGAATTGTAATGATTTATGACTTGTGTAGACTATACTGTAGGCTATGCTTATGATATAACCTTGTGCTTTTTAATGAATGAGAGTAGCCTAGGCTAAACAATATGAAGATTTGAATTAAAATGTATTCTTTCTGT